ACGCCAGGCGGCTGCGCCTCTGGGCGGTGGGGGCCGTGGCAGAGCTGCGGTGTGAGGGCTCGCGCGCCAGGTGAGCTGCCGGTGGGCCTCGGGGCTGGGGGAGGGGGAGGCCAGTGTCCTGCAGCCCGAAGATCAGGACACATCCCCAGAGTCCCAGGTCCCTGGGCCGTGACTCCCACCGCCCTTTCAACCCCCCGCCCCCACCCCCCACCCCAGGTCTAGCTCCGTGTTCATGGAGCGTGAGCTGACCTTGGATGGGGCCGTCGTGAGTGCGGTCTTCCACGACAGCATGGACATGGGCGTGGTGGGCACCACGGCAGGCACGCTCTGGTATGTCAGCTGGGCCGAGGGCACCAGCACCCGCCTCATCAGTGGCCATAGGAGCAAGGTGAGGGCATTTCCACCCTGGACAGAGGCAGGGCGGTATGCCACACGGGCTCTGCTCTGCTCCTCCCTTCCCCGGCTTGCTCCAGGGCCAAGACCAGCAGTCCGGCGGGTTTGTGTAAGTGGCCCAGGCAGTCCCCAGATGACGACAGCCTGGAACTGTGTGCTAACCCCGTCCGTACGGGCCTCACATGCGTCCCCACCCGGGCCTTTTGGCCTTCTCTGTCCTTCATAGTTTGTCCTTTTTTTCTCATAATTTATTTGTTGGAAAAACGAGCTTCTCTGTCGTGGAACCTCCCACCAGCTCAGCTGGACCTGCCTCTAGGCCCTTACGTTCCTGGGGTCCGAGAGGGCTGGAGGCCAGGCCAGGGTCTGGTCCAGGGCTGCTTGCCCGTCGGCGCTGTTCTCGTAGAATGGCTCCCTGCTCGGTGGGGCTTGCTGGGGTGCGGCTTGGATCCTGACCAGGAGAGACGGCCTCGCGAGCTTGGTTTCTTCCAGGTGGCGCTGAGGGCGAGTCTCTCTCTGCCGGGCCGGGTCTCCCGAGTGCAGGCTTGGTTCCTCGGCCGCCGGCAGGGATCTGCAAGTTTGCGAGGCTCTGTGCGCACTGCTGGGTGGGAATGTGGGTCCGGCTTCCTCGCGGTCACGGCTTCTCATGATGCCCTTCAAGCCCCGTCTTTGGCCAGGGGCAGGTTCTTCGAGTTGGTTCCTGAATCCTTTTCCTTTTTTTTAATCTCTGTTCGTTTGTTCTGATATAATGGTTGTCATCAGAGGAACTTGGATGGGGGAGTGGCGTGTGCTGCTTGTGGATTTTTGGTGGCAGCTCTGTGTTCGGGTACAAGGTACACACTGTAGCCCTTATCTGCTGGGGGGTCTGTGGTTTTGTTATCTTCACAGAATTGCACGACGCGTCGCCACAATCCCATTTTGGGGCATTTCCCCTCCCCAAAAGGAAGCCCCTTACCCTTTAAACAGCCTGCCCCCCCCGCCCCTCCCCAATCCCCCTGCCCAGCCCCTGGGACTCCCTGGCCGACTCTGTTGCTGTGGATTCAGCAGTTCTGGGCATTCCTGTCCGTCTGTCCCTCTCTCCGCGAGCACGGGGCCCTCCAGGTTGTCTGTAGCACAGCGTGCGTCAGTGCCAGATGCGTCTCCGTGTCCGTTCACCTGCTGGTACACGTGCCCTTGGGTCCTACTGCCTTGACCGGGGCTGGTGGTCACTGGTGACGTCCCTCTCATGTGGAGGGACAAGGTGTCCCAGGGTCCCCTCTGCGGCTTCACCCAGAACCAGACTCGGCTGTTCCTTCTCAGAGTCTGGGGGCCCCTCCTGAGGGAAATGGATGTAGGGGTCGTGGTCCAAGTGCCAGAGGGGCCTGCCGCTGCTCAGCCAGACAGCTTGGTTACTTTTTACTTATTTTTTTATGTATTTATTTGACAGACAGAGATCACAAGTAGGCAGAGAGGCGGGGGGTGGGGTGGAAGCAGGCTCCCTGCTGAGCAGAGAGCCTGATGTGGGGCTTGATCCCAGGACTCTGGGATCATGATCTGAGCCAAAGACGGAGGTTTTAACCCACTGAGCCATCCAGGCGCCCCTGGTTACTTTTTTTCCACATGACGTATTAGGAGTTCGCATTTATCCTTGAAATTCACGTCTGAGTCTAGACCATGCTCTTGTCCTTTGTGGGCACGTGGCTTCTGTGTCTCCTGTTTCCTGTGCTCCTGTCTGGGCTGTCTTCCTCCACCTTCTGTGTGCAGCTCTCTGGGGACACGTCCTCACCCATCGTCACATCACCATTTTTTAGGGTCAACCAGAATGGTCCCTTCTGTGCTGTCTTGGCAAGTGAGCCATCGGGTTCCGTCCCACCCAGGTCTCGTGTGGGGATACTTGGGACGGAGGCCAGGACAGGTTCTTGATGCCACGTGGAGGTGGTTGGGGCCAGGCAGGCTTGTGCAGGAGATGGTGCCCTCGTCAGAAAGACCACCTGGGGCATCCGGCGGGCTCGGTCCGACAAGCGTTCGAGTCTTGATCTTGTGGCTGTGAGTTTGAGCCCCACGTTGGGGGTAGAGTTAGGTGAAAAAATAGAATCTTTAAAAAACAAAACACACCTGGGGCTGCCGTGTCTCCCCTGTGCCTGAGGGCCCCACAGCCTCAGCGCGGCCGGCTGGCTGGCTCCTTACAGGTGAACGAGGTGGTCTTCAGCCCCAGCGCATCCCACTGGGCCACGTGCAGTGATGACGGGAGTGTGAGGGTGTGGTCCCTGGCCAGTATGGAGCTCCTGATCCAGTTCCAGGTGCTGAACCAGGTACTAGGAGCCCCGAGGGCCGAGCCAGACCCCCTCCTAGCCCTGCCAGGTCTCCGTGTCCTCCCTCAGTGTCTATCCCAGCCTTGGGGCTGGGCCCGCGTTCCCCATGCCCAGGGGAGTGCCCGTGTCTTCCTCCTGTGGGCCCCCAGAGCTGCCTCTGTCTGGCTTGGAGACCCCGCTCCCGCGGACGCCCAGAGCAGCAGCAGGTGGCGGCTGGCTACAGTGACGGCACCCTGCGTGTCTTCAGCGTCACCCGCATTGCCATGGAGCTCAAGATGCACCCCCACCGGGCTGCGCTGACGGCCCTGGCCTACTCCGCCGATGGTGAGCAGTGGGGCCCACGGGGCCTCCGTGTGCTCACCCGTCTGGGCTGGGGGCCAGGGGCTCGCAGGGTAACGTTGTGGCCCTGTCTGGCCCAGGTCAGACCATCCTCTCTGGAGACAAGGATGGGCTTGTGGCTGTGAGCCGCCCCCGCACAGGGATGACCCTCCGCGTTCTGAGTGACCACCAGGGCGCTCTCATTTCCACCATCCAGAGCACGAGCAAAGAGGTGAAGCAGCCTCATGAGCCGGCAGGGCCTGGCCTGGGGGATGTTGGCAGGGGAGGGAGATCGGGTAGGGCAGGGCGGGAGGCACCCACCAGCCCTTCCCCAAACCCAGTATGGAGGCTTCGGGGCAAAGGGGGCCGACCTGTGGCTGGCTGCCAGCTCAGACCAGCGCATCAGCATCTGGGCCGCCGACTGGCCGCGGGGCTGCTGTGAACTCGTGGACTGGCTCAGCTCCCCATCGCCCACCCTCACGGAGGTAAGGGTCCTGGGGGCAAGGGGTGCGGGGGGTGCCCGCCCATCTGACTGCAGTGTGTGTGCTCCTCCCCAGGCTCCCAGCCATCCTCCGCCCTGTCTCGTGGCCTTCTGCCCCTGGGACGGGGCGCTGCTGGTGTGCGCGGGCCTCAGCATGCATCCAGAGCTAGTCTTCTACAACCTTCACCAGAAGCAGGCACGTGTACCCCCAGCCCCGTGTGGTCCTGGGAGCCTGAGGGCCCCAGAGCTGGGGAAGGGAGGCTCACACTCACTGTCCACAGGTGGTGGAGAGGATCCCGCTGCCGTTCTTTGCCATGTCCCTGAGCCTGTCCCCCAGGGCCCACCTCGTGGCCGTTGGCTTTGCTGGTGAGTCCTGGTGCAGTGGGACGGAGGGGAGCCGAGGGGCTCGCCCGTGCCCCACCTGAGACCAGTCTCACCTCAGTGCCCCAAGTTCCTCATTCCTGTACTGGGGCGAGGACACACGCCCAGGCGCACTGTAGGGTCAGGAGATGAGGGGTGTGAGGTGCTGACTGTGGGACCTAGACCCAGGGCCTCAGCAGAGGGACTCACTGGCCTAGCTTGGGGCCTTGGAAGCCGATGGGCTCCCCATTAGGTTTGGTGCCCCTGGTCCCAGCTGCAGCGGTCCCTAGGGTGTGGAGGACACAGGGCTTTGAGCACATTTTCTTCCAGAGGCCCCAGCACTAGGACAGGGCGGGGACCCTGGGCCCCGGGAGCTACACAGTCACGGGGTGTGGTGGGCGCAGCCCTCCGCCTGCCCAGCCCCAGCCCCATGCCGTGTTCCCCCAGAGCGAGTGCTGAGGCTGGTGGACTGTCATTCGGGGGCTGCTCGGGACTTGGCCGGCCATGACGACGTTGTGCAGCTGTGCAGGTCTGCCCTGCCCGCCCAGCTGCTCTTCTCAGTGGCCCACGGTGACATCTTGGTGTGGGAAGTCACGGGCCACCGGGCCTCCGAGCAGTCCTTGAGCTCAGGGCCTCTGCCTGACTGAGAAGCAGGGACGTCCAAGGGCTTCCTGCTGAGCCAAGAAGGCCTGGGTCTGTCCACACCAGAGGGCCTGGGATTGTCAGTCATCGAGACCCTGAACTTACGGAAGGTGCTTGCTGGGCTCTTCACCTGCGGGCTCTCCTATGTCTCTACCTTGTCAACTTTAAATAAACGTGGGTGTTGCATTCTGGCTTATGGTCAGCTGGTCACTCCAGGCTCCCGCTGCCCTGGCCCCAGCCCGGCCTCCACCAAAGGCTCCGACCTCCTGCTCCCTGTGCAAGGCGGCGGGGTGGGGGGGCGGTCCCGGGGCGGGCCTGCAATACCCAGTGTGTTCGCGCGGTGGCGCTGCCGCACGGGCGGGACGCTCTGGTCCGCTCGGTTCGTTCGTGCGGCTCGGCGGGCGGGGGGCCGGAAGTGCGGGCGGGGGCCGGAAGTGCGGTGGGAGGGGGAACGCTGGTCGGGGTCGGGACCGGGGTCGGGACCGGGTTCGGGACCCGGGGTCGGGGCCGGGGACGGGGTCGAGGTCGGGGCCCGTGCAGCCGCAATGAAGCGGGACGTGCGCATCTTGCTCCTGGGCGAGGGTAGGCGCCGGGCTGGGGAGGCGGGCAGGGGTCTCGGGGGCGGGGCGGGGGCCGGAGTGGGGAGGGGGCGCGGCGACCTTGGCCGATGCGCTGACCGCGCCGCCCCGCGCAGCCCAGGTGGGAAAGACGTCGCTGATCCTGTCGCTCGTGGGCGAGGAGTTCCCCGCGGAGGTGAGAGGCGCGCGCGGCCGCAGCCCTCGGTGCGGGTCCCGGGCCTCGGGCCGCCCTCACGCCGCGTCCCCTGCAGGTCCCTCCCCGCGCCGAGGAGATCACCATCCCCGCAGACGTCACCCCGGAGAGGGTGCCCACGCACATCGTGGACTACTCAGGTGGAGCCGGCCGGCCGCGCTGTGCCCCGGGGGCGGGGTGGGGGCGGGCTCCCGGCGGGCTCCGCAGCCCCGGTGTCTCTCTCCCTCCCCGCAGAAGCCGAGCAGACGCCAGAGGAGCTCCGGGACGAGATTCACAAGGTGCGCTGTGTCCCGAGGGCTGCGCCCCCGCTGCTGCCTGCCAGGGATTAGGCGGAGGAGCTCAGGGGCCCGAGGCCTCGATAATCCTGCCACTTGTCCGGTTCCCTGGGCTTGCCCTGCCGGACGCTGGAGAGAAGAGGGACCGTGCTATTGCATGGCTGGCCAGCCGGCTGGCTCTGGGGAGAAGTGACCCCTTACCCAGCCTGTGCCCTGACTGCCTGTGCCACCATCCCGTAGCCCAGGGCACTGCTCTGAGCTTCTGAACCACAGCAGGTGCCCTGAGCCAGGCTTCAAGTCACCGCTGCCCACCTGTTATCAGGAGCACCTGTGCCCGCGCCAAGCGCCTGAGGGGAGCCTCTGCTGCGTCCCGGGGTATCACTGGGCTAGGGCGAAGGCCCCAGCTACCCGGGAGCAGCCTTCTTGTCAATCCTCCCTTGGCCCTGGAATGACACGGGAGTGCAGGGCTGCTGCAAGGCTGGAGTCCTGAGCCTTGCGGGAGACCTGGCAGACCTGGTGGCTCCGGTGGAGGGGGCGGGAGGACTTGTCAGGAGGAGCAGCTGACGGTGTCTGGGGCTCCCTGGCTGTGGCGGGGTGCTGAGGAGGGGTGGGGTTCCGAGGCGTCTGGCCCCAGCAAGGCGGCGTGGAGCCGGAGGCCCGTGCTCACGCTGTGCCTCACCCCCTTTCCCACAGGCAGACGTGGTGTGTATGGTGTACGACGTGTCTGAGGAGGCCACCATTGAGAAGGTGAGGGTGGGAGCACCTTCTGCGCCGCAGGTCCTTGCCTCTGGCACCCAGCTCCGGTTGTCCTCTGAATAAGCTGCAGGCGGACACTCAGCTGACCCAGGGCCTGGGCGCTGGGAGCCTGTGGGCTGGAGCTCCTGCGGCCCCGCCTCCCCACAGAGCATGTGGGTGGTTACCAGGACTGTGGCAGGGGCTGCCTCGGGCTGCTGATTCCAGATTCCTTGGGGGTGTTTGGGGACTGTTAGGATCAAGTGAGGTCCATCTGCCGACTGTTCTCTCCAAGTGGCCACGTTCCCGGTGTCCAGAACTTTGTTCCTCAGCGGGCCTTGACCTCCCCCAGTCCAGACAGGGGATTGCCTGTGCTCACGGCTAGGTCTTGCTTTTCAGATCCGAACCAAGTGGATCCCACTGGTGAATGGGGAGACTGATAAGGGCTCCAGGTAACGGGCAGGGCCCAGGTGGGTGGGAGCCACTGGTTCCCCCATCCGCGGTGACCGCTGGCCTCTCCCTGCAGGGTCCCCATCATCCTGGTGGGCAACAAGTCGGACCTGCGGCCGGGGAGCTCGATGGGGGCTGTGCTGCCCGTCATGAACCAGTTCCCTGAGATCGAGACATGCGTGCAGGTGAGCGGGCGGGTAGAGTGCGTGCCCAGGTGCTCTGGCCTCTGCTGCTGGCCTCTGGACACCCCAGGTCTCCTGGGAGACAGCCCGTGCCTGCCTCTTGTCGGGGGGCCCCTTTGTGTTTGGTGGTATTGGTCACGTCTCTGCGTCTGTCCCCGCGGCCACCAGTGCTCTGCCAAGAACCTGAGGAACATCTCGGAGCTGTTCTACTACGCGCAGAAGGCTGTGCTGCACCCCACAGCCCCGCTCTACGACCCCGAGGCCAAGCAGGTGGGCAGCAGGCTCTGGGGAGGCGGCCAGGCTGGTGGGAGCGGTGGCGCAGGACACGCCCTGAGCCGGCTGTCTCTGCAGCTGAGGCCCGCGTGTGTCCGAGCCCTCACGCGTATCTTCAGACTCTCGGACCAGGATCTGGACCAGGCGCTCAGTGACGAGGAGCTCAACGCCTTCCAGGTGCGGCGCCCCCTCTGCTGGTGCTGCCCGTCCCTGGAGGGCACAGCCAAGCACTCGCTGGGGAAACTGGCTAGCTGACGGTGACTTCCCTCGGGGGCAGAAATCCTGCTTTGGGCACCCGCTGGCCCCTCAGGCCCTGGAGGACGTGAAGACAGTGGTGTGCAAGAACGTGGCCGGAGGCGTGCGGGATGACCGGCTGACCCTGGACGGTGAGTCTGGACGCCTGCCGTGCCCTGGGAGCCGCAGGGGCCTGCCTGGGCTCAGCGCTACCTGTCGTCTGTCTCCTCTGGGACAGGCTTTCTGTTCTTGAACACGCTGTTCATCCAGCGGGGCCGTCACGAGACCACGTGGACCATCCTACGACGCTTTGGCTATGGGGACACGCTGGCGCTGACCCCGGGCTACCTTGTCCCGCCGTGAGTGGGGGCGGGGCTCCCTGGCTGTGGAGTTGGGATGGGACAAAGCGAAGGGCCCCTGCCCCGACGGCATCCTGGCTGCCTTCCTGCCGCGGTGTTCGGCTGAGGGCTGGTGCAGGAGCCTCCCTGTGCGGAGACACAGGAGTCACGGGGAGCGTGGTGGGCAAAGGGCTCCCCCAGGACCCGGGAACCGGACTCCCCCGCCTCCCCGCAGGCTCCACGTGCCCCCCGGCTGCAGCACCGAGCTCAATCACTTCGGGTACCAGTTCGTGCAGAGGGTGTTTGAGAGGCACGACCGGGTAAGGGTGTCGTGAGCTCTGCCCTGCACCGCCGCGATCCCGCCCGCCTCCGGGCCCGTGTCACTGCAGCCCCTCTGCCCGCAGGACCGCGATGGCTGCCTCTCGCCTGCAGAGCTGGACGGCTTCTTCAGCGTGTTCCCCGCTGCCCCGTGGGGCCCCCAGCTGCCTCTCGAGGTCTGCACTGAGGCGGGCCGGCTGTCTTTGCATGGGTACCTCTGCCAGTGGACGTGAGTTCAGCCCTCACCCACGGAAACACTGCCCATGCCGGCCGCTCGGCCCTGACCCTGCGCTGCCCGCCCCTCCCGCCCTCAGCCTGGTGACCTACGTGGATGTCCGGCGCTGTCTCGAGCACCTTGGCTACTTGGGCTACCCCACGCTCTGCGAGCAGGACTCGCAGGCCCACGCCATCTCAGGTGGGTGCCCGCCCTCCCCCCAAGCCCAGCGCCCCCTCCTGGTACCCGCCTTGGTCACACTGCCCCTGGTTGTCCATCCGCAGTCACTCGTGAGAAGAGGCTGGACCAGGAGAAGGGGCAGACGCAGAGGAACGTTCTCTTGTGCAAGGTGGTGGGGGCCCGCGGAGTGGGCAAGTCCGCATTCCTGCAGGCCTTTCTCGGCCGCAGCCTGGGGGTGAGCATCTGCAGGGGGCCGGTGGGGGCTCTGGGCAGCGTCTGGGCCAGCAAGCTTCATTCGCCTCCCTTCTCCACACCAGGACACCAGGGAGCCCGCGGAGGGACGAGCCATCTATGCCATCAACACGGTGCAGGTCAACGGGCAGGAGAAGTACCTGATAGTGAGTGCTGGGGTCCTCGGGACAGACCCTGGGTCCGCGCTGGGGTGTGCTGTGTCACTGTGACCCACGGGGCTGGCCCTGCACCCCTCCCTGAGCCCAGCCTTTGTCTAGCTGTGCGAGGTGAGTGCGGACAGCCTGCTGGCCACTGCGCCTGATGCCACCTGTGACGTGGCCTGCTTGGTGTTCGACGGCAGCGACCCTGGGTCCTTTGCGCTATGCGCCAATGTCTACAAGGCAAGCTCCCTCTGGCGCGTTCCTCTGGGGCAGTCCCCACGCCTTGGCCGCCCGGGACGGTCCCCTCACGCAGCCTCTCTTTCTGCAGCGCCACTACATGGATGGGCAGACCCCCTGCCTCTTTGTCTCCTCTAAGGCAGACCTGCCCGAAGGCATCTCGCCACCCGGCCTGTCGCCTGCGGAGTTCTGCCGCAGACACCGGCTGCCCGCCCCTGCCCTGTTCTCATGTGTGGGTCCAGCCAAGCCCAGCACTGCTGTGTTCACCCGGCTCGCCACCATGGCTGCTTTCCCGTGTGTACCCGCACGCGGCCCTGTGGTGGGAGGCCGGGCGCCGTCCCAGGGAACCAGTGGTCCCTGTGGCCCCGGAGGGCAGGGCCGCTGTAGCATCGAGGCCAGAGTCACTTGGGTGCAGGGTGGGCCCTGTGCTTGGGGCGTTTGGCTGTGCCCACGCGGACAGAGAGCAGCCCCAGGAGGTGGGGTGGGGGCTCTGACAGCGGGCATCTGGGCAGCACCCCTGGGGCGCCTCCAGCCGGCCTCTCTCTCCTACAGACACCTGGCCCACGGGGAGCTGCACACCACCTCCTTCTGGCTGCGGGTGACACTGGGGGCCATTGGGGCTGCTGTCACTGCTGTCCTCAGCTTCTCACTCTACAGGGCCCTGGTGAAGAGCCGGTGAGGCCACCAGGGTACTGGTGTGGGGGCCACCTGCTCGCGGGGTCTTCCTTCTGTGTCACCTGGGCTTCTGGGGACACTGCCCACTGGCCTGCCTGAGCCCCAAGGACAGCCCCCCCAGTCCTGGCAGCCTGTGTCCCTACCCAGCTGCAGATGCCAGGCATCACCCGGTTGGGGTATCACATGTTGGAGGGACAGGGCGTCCTGGGGGAGGAAGCAGGAACCCCAGACCCATGTGTTCTCAGGGCTCCGCTCCTTTCTGCACAGCCGCCAGGGGGCGTGAAGGGGGTCAGAAGACAGAACTCTGGGCCAAAGGTGGGGGCGGGGGACAACGTGGTTGAGCATCTCAGGGCCTCCCTCACTCCTCCTGGAAGACACGAAGCAGGGTCCCGTGATTAAACTTCACTTGTGTCTTTTGCACCTGGGATCCTGCTTTCTGAAGGCGACTTTTCTCGAATCTACCACAACACGTCCTTTGTCTCAGCATGGGCTGGAAACCTCACTCCTGAGCCCCACACCCTTCTCCAGGCCTGGGTCCCCATTCTGAGGTCTCCCTCAGGGCCCAGCTGTGGTCTGGGAGCCTCTGCATCCATCCAGGCCTGAGCTGGCCTGCGGGATTCTGAGAAGCGAGACCTTCCTGATGGCTGCTCCCACCTGCCGTGAGCTCAGCAGTCTGGCTGGGGTGTGCCGAGGGTCTAGGACTCTGGGATGGGACTGGGGTGTGCCCAGACACTCTGCTTCTGGTGTGCAGGGTTGGACCGGCCTGGGAAATTGCCGTTTTTCTTCACACCCTGGCCAGATGCCTTAGCCCCCTGCCCTGGGTGGGGGACAGCCAGAGAGCCCCACCCTACAGGGTTGGGAACTGAGAACCTTTGTTGGGCTGAGGAGAAGACCCAGTGTGGGGCCGGGTCATCTACTTGGTATGTGTTCTGGGGCCTGGAGCAGAGAGCCTGCAGTGTGGCTGGGCATGCCCTCCTTCCTGGCATCGGGCCCTCTCTGCAAGGCAGCCTCCCCCAAGCCCCAAGGTGCTACTTGTAGGAGGTGATGCTCCCCAGAGATGCCGTGGCCTGACACAGGTCTGGCTTGACCCTGAAGTTCTTCCACCAGCCTCCCAGCCCCACTGGCCCTCGTACTATGGCTGTGGTTCTCACCTGCCTTCGGGTGGGGCTGGCTGCCAGGAGTGTGGACTGTGGCATCAGGATTGTGAGGGGCCCATGAGGGGTTGCTCTGACGGCACGTCCCGGTGGTCTCTGTCGCCTCCTATGGAGAGCTCTTCTTGCCCTCCCCAGGAAGTAGGGACCCTTTCCTAGCCCAGCTGCAGCCCCACACTGACGTCGGTGGGTCTGCCTGGGCTACCCATGAACTCGCGGAGCTGGAGGTCCCCCTGTCCAGCACTGAGCCACAGGAGTGGTCAGGGGTCTCTGGTCCCAGGTGGGTGCAGTGGGTTGGTGTCCGTGGACCGAGTGGAGACAGCTGCACCAAGCCTTCCCCACCTGTCCCCACTAGTCGCCCTTGTGCAGGTGGTGGGGCTCACGGTGGGACTGCGGTGCGTGCCTGGCAGGGTTCCCTGGCCTGAGGAAGGCGTCCTGGGCAGCCAGGAGGGGGCTTCAGCGCTGAAGCTCCAAGCAGAGGGGCGCGCGAGGGAGGCATCTGGGTGCTGCCCTGTGACTCAGTTTCCCGGCCGCTGTGCCCGCTTGATGAGCAGCCCCGGCACAGAACGGGAAGGCGGTGAGCGGGGCGGCAAGACCCGAGCTCCGGTCGGGGCCGTTCCTTCTCGGGGCGCGTCCGCAAGCAGGGCGCGCGCGTGTCCCGGCCGCGCGTGGAGGGGCCGGCGGCGGCAGCGCGCGCGCGGGCGGGCGGCTCTGGCTCCGTGACGCGGCGCGGAGCGGAGCGGGCGGAGCAGGCGGGCCGGGGCGGAGCGGAGTCGTCCGCAGAGCAGCCCCTTCCGGCCGCGGCCGCCGACCCCGGCCCCCGGCCCCGCTTGGCTCTATGGACAGGAGCTCGCTGCTGCAGCTTATCCAGGAGCAGGTGCGTGGGGTGGGTGGGGGGCGCCGGCACCGCCCCCGCCGCAGCCCTCCCGCCGCTGGGCTGGGCAGAGGCGACAGAGCTCCCAGAGAGCTGCGGTCCAGTCCCCGCTCCGCGCCTACTCTCGGGCCCCCTCTCCCGCGACCTTGGCCCCCTGCCTGACACCCCAGAAGAGGGTGAGCCAGATCAGGGGTCCTGGGGAGGTATAGGAGGGAGGGAGATCGTCCTCAGACCTCGTCCCTACCCTTCTAGGAGGATGGGCAGGGCAGAAATGAGGTGGGGAGGTCCCTAATTGCTGGAGGAGCTGGAGGCCTGGGACCCAGGCACTGGTCCCTTGGTGGCTCCTGGGACTGTGCCGGTCCAGAGGTCTGGCCCTGGGGTGCTTGGAGCCTGCCTCTCACAGCTGGCCTGGCCCAGCCCTGTGGCCTGGGAGGCCTGACCTACCCTCAAGCCTTGGCCGATGGCCCCCCCACCCCAGCAGCTGGACCCCGAGCACACAGGTTTCATCGGTGCGGACACCTTCACCGGCCTGGTGCACAGCCATGAGCTGCCCCTGGACCCGGCCAAGCTGGACATGCTGGTGGCCTTGGCCCAGAGCAACGAACGGGGCCAGGTCTGCTACCAGGAGCTGGTGGACCTGGTCAGTGCCATAATGGGTGGATAGCGGGGTAGGGGCCTAGGCCTTGGCAGGCACAGTGCCTGGTCCGAGTGGGGTGGGCAGGCAGCCCCCACTCCCTGCCCTTCCCACCAGGAAGGGGTGTGGACTTGGGGCAGGGACTCCGACTGGACCAGGAGCTGGGCAGGCCAAGGGGCAGGGTGGCTCTGGGGGGGCGGGGAGTATGGTGGCCCATGCTTAGGGCCACCCCCCTCCAGATCAGCAGTAAGCGCTCAAGCAGCTTTAAGCGGGCGATCGCCAATGGACAGAGGGCACTGCCTCGGGACGGGCTGCTGGATGAGCCAGGCCTGGGTGTCTACAAGCGGTTTGTGCGCTACGTGGCCTACGAGATCCTGCCCCGAGAGGTGGACCGCCACTGGTACTTCTACCGGCACCGCAGCTGCCCACCCCCCGTGTTCATGGCCTCGGTCACCCTTGCCCAGGTGTGCCCACCTGCCTGCCACCCAGCGGCCACCCACAAGCCCGGCCCTGCCTGGCCCTAATCCTCTCCCTCCCAGATCATTGTGTTCCTGTGCTACGGAGCTCGCCTCAACAAGTGGGTGCTGCAGACCTACCACCCCGAGTACATGAAGAGCCCACTCGTGTACCACCCCGGCCACCGTGCTCGAGCCTGGCGCTTCCTCACCTACATGTTCATGCACGTCGGGTGAGTGAGGGCCCCCCTCTGGCATCCGTCCCGTCGGGCTGGCAGCCTGACTGCTGACCTCCCGTCTGTTTGCACCCACACGGCCAGCCTGGAGCAACTGGGGTTCAACGCGCTCCTGCAGCTCATGATCGGGGTGCCCTTGGAGATGGTGCACGGTCTGCTCCGCATCAGCCTGCTCTACCTGGCCGGTGTGCTGGCAGGTGAGGCAGGCACGGGCCCCCTGGCCTTCTTCCCGGTGAGCCTCACCCTCACGGCTCTCCCTTTGCTCACACAGGCTCCCTGACTGTCTCCATTACCGACATGCGGGCCCCTGTGGTGGGGGGCTCTGGTGGGGTCTACGCCCTGTGCTCGGCACACCTGGCCAACGTCGTCATGGTAACAGGGCAGACTGCGGGGCGGGTGTGGGGAGGGGCCCGCAAGGCCTGCCTCACAGCCTCTGTCTCACGCCCCATCAGAACTGGGCTGGGATGAGGTGTCCCTACAAGCTGCTGAGGATGGTGCTGGCCTTGGTGTGCAGTAAGTAGGGGTCAGGGGGCTGGGGGGCCTCAGCCTACGGCCAGGGCGCCCCCCACCTGCCACCTTTCTCTGCAGTGAGTTCCGAGGTGGGCCGGGCCGTGTGGCTCCGCTTTTCCCCACCACTGCCTGCCTCAGGCCCCCAGCCCAGCTTCATGGCACACCTGGCAGGTGCAGTGGTAGGGGTCAGCATGGGTCTGACCATCCTGCGCAGCTATGAGGAACGCCTGCGGGACCAGTGTGGCTGGTGGGTGGTGCTGCTCGCCTATGGCACTTTCCTGCTCTTTGCCATCTTCTGGAACATCTTCGCCTACGACCTGCTGGGCGCCCACATCCCTCCACCACCCTGATGGGCTCCCCAGGGCTGCACAGGCCAGGGCACAGGTGTATGTGGGCTGGCCACCAGGCGAGCCTGCATGTCTGCTCTCTGTGAATGTACATCTCAAGACTGCTTCTCCTCTGTGGGGGCAGGTGTCCCCAGTAACCCACTGAGTCCAGGCCAAGCCTTACACCAGCCCTGGCCACCCCCTCCCAGGCCTGGGGAGGTAGGACTGCCTGGCCAGGCAGTGGAGGTCCCCAGCTGTGGCCCCAGAGGAGACCCTGCCCCGGCCTCTCCCCCACGATTTGCGGTCTGAGCCTTTTTGGAGAATGAATAAATATTTTACACAGCAGCAGGTGGCTGTACCAGGGCTCTGGGGGCTGTCCTGGCCTCCCTCCCACTCACTGAGCAGTGTAAGGGCCCTTCCCTCCATGTGGACAACCCGAGCTTTCCCCTTGCTTGTCTGCACTGGTGTGAGGGAAGGAAGGGTATGTGTGTGTGTGTGTGTGTGTGTGTGTGTGAGAGAGACAGATGGGTGTGGGAAGGAGCTGTGGTCCTCATGGTCAGGTGTGCGTTCTAGCATTTGTTAAGGTCCTGCAGCAGCTAGCCTCCTGCTTGGACAGCCCGTCCTCCAGGGAAACCTGTGGCCTGAGGTTGCGGGCAGGTGAGCAGACCCTGGGCCACAGCCACGTTCAGGCAGCCTGTGCTCTGCATGTCTTGGCTGGCGTGGTGTCCTTAGGCATGGCCAGCCTGGGGCTCAGGTCCAGCAGCAGGTTGGGGCACAGCTTCTGTCCCACAGCCCATGTCCATACTGCTGCCTCGACATGCTGAGGGGTCCACGGCCCTGAGGGACTGCCTAGAGAGGGCCTAGGGGCCCAGAGACACTGTCCACTTGATCCTCCCGTACAGCTCTGCACACTGCATCCCTGCCTGCCCACGGCCCCTCACCTCTGCTGAGGGCTGCAGCGGGGAGCGCTGGAGGGTGAATTGCGGCCACTGTGCGGCGGGACACGAAGGCGCCGCCTCCACAGCCCCTGCAGCCGGACTCGTGCCCCACCAGGGCTGGACCAGCTCGACGCAGGGCTGCCCTTCCCAGGGACCCGCAGTGTCATGGACACGGCCATGGGCCCATTTCTCAGGCAAGGACAAGAACCGGCCGGCTGCGCCGCGACCCCGCGGGACACCCAGCTCTCCCGGCTGATCCGGGCCCGGGTGGGTTGGGGGTGTCACGGGTGGTGGACCTCGCCAAGCGTTCCCGCCCCACCAGGAAGCTCCGCCCGAGCCGCCAGGCCCCGCCCGCTCGTGGGAAGCCCTCACCGCCGGCTTGCACGCCCGCGGCCGCTCCGGCTCGTTTCGTGTCACGTGCTTCCCCGCTCGGGCCTCGGTGGCGGCGGGCACTCCTCTCGGTGCCTGGGGAAGGGCGGTGACGGAGACTTGGGCAACGGGGCTCGTCCGTCCTACCGACCGCCCCCCCCTCCTCCGCCCTACCATCGGTCGGGGATTTCCAGCCGCCCCTGGCGGTCCGTGCGCGCCCACGGCATCTCCCCGTGCTGCGCCAGGACCGCGACCCGCCGGCTAGAGGCCGGACACCCGCCATGTTCGCAGGCGGGCGGGGCCTCTGCGGGGCGGGGCCTCTGCGGGGCGGAGCCGAGAGCACCCACCACCTTCTTGGCGCCGCTCCGGACTTGGACGCCGCGGGTCGCTTTGTTTCGAGCGCATGCTCCCAGCCGGCTCAGCCCCCTTTCCCCTCTGCCCGTGGAGCGCACGCGCGTCCCCGCCCACCGCGCGTCCGCCCGCCGCGCTGGCCCCGCCCCACGCGGCCGGAACTTCCGGTGGCGGATCGCTGGACCGGGCCCGAGAGGATCGGGGGCTCGGGCTGCGGGCTCGGGCTGCGGGTGCAGGGCGGGCCAGACGCGGAGCCTGGGAGCGAAGCCCAGGCTGTGCCGCGCGGCGCCATGAAGGGCAAGGAGGAGAAGGAGGGTGGCGCGCGGCTGGGCGCCGGCGGCGGAAGCCCCGAAAAGAGCCCGAGCGCGCAGGAGCTCAAGGAGCAGGGCAACCGGCTCTTCGTGGGCCGCAAGTACCCGGAGGCGGCGGCCTGCTACGGCCGCGCCATCGTGAGTGCGCCCGCGCCGGGGGAGGGGACCGGCGTCCGGGCCAGGGGAGGGGGCGGGGCCCGGGGTTCGGTCCCGCGTCCTCCCTGGAGCCTTTGCCCGGCCATTCCCGCCGGACCTTCGGAGGCTCTTGGTTCGTTCGCGGGGGCGTTGGGGCTCTGAGAGCTCAGTGATGGTCTTGTTTCCGTCGGGTGAGGGCCGCGGCTCTCGAGCCAGTGCTGGTTGCCGAAGAAGTACAGCGGGTGGGAGCTTCAGGGTGCTTGAGGCCCCCAGACCGAGGACCAGGGATCCTTGTCCCTTGAGAACCCCAGGCCCAAAGCTGGGGCTCTCCCCGGGTCTGGGAAACAGGCTTCCAAGATCTATTGGGAGTCAAGAGGGTGGGCTCATGCAGGCCTCAGGACCGGGAGTTCTCCCTCCAGCAGCCCGCAGTATGCAAGGGCTTTGAAGCTGAGAAGTTTCTGGTGTCGGGGTTCTAGCCGCGGGCTCTAAACTGGGCCTGGGACAGGGCCTAGGACTGAGAAAGGGCGCAGAGCTCACTCCCTCATGCTGGCTGGCCTGGCCTTGGTCCCCAGACCCGGAATCCTCTGGTGGCAGTGTACTACACCAACCGGGCATTGTGCTACCTGAAGATGCAGCAGCACGAGCAGGCCCTGGCCGACTGCCGGCGGGCCTTGGAACTGGACGGGCAGTCTGTGAAGGCACACTTCTTCCTGGGGCAATGCCAGCTAGAGATGGAGAGCTATGACGAGGCCATCGCCAATCTGCAGCGAGGTGGGCCTACAGCTTGTCAGGGTTACAGGGGTGCCTGGGACCAGGCGGATGGACTGGCCCGGTGACCTGGAGCCCCTGTTCTCCTAGCCTACAACCTGGCCAAGGAGCAGCGGCTCAACTTTGGGGATGACATCCCTAGTGCTCTGCGCATCGCCAAGAAGAAGCGCTGGAACAGCATCGAGGAGCGGCGCATCCACCAGGAGAGCGAGCTGCACTCCTACCTCACCCGGCTCATTGTGGCCGAGCGGGAGAGGTGGGCGGCGCTAGTGGCAGGCTCCAGGGCCCCACCCACCCCCAAGTCAGCACTCCGGGGTTAACGCTGAGTCAAGAACACAGGTGTTTATTGAAGGCCAACACTGGCAAGCAGGAGATGGAGGGAAGCGAGACCTGAATGAGCCCGAGGTCGGGGTGGAGTGTGAGCTCTTTGGCCACACCCGTTTCTGACTAGCCCCTGGTCGACCCCCAGGGAGCTAGAAGAATGCCAGCGGAACCATGAGGGTGATGAGGACGATGGCCACATCCGGGCCCAGCAGGCCTGCATCGAGGCCAAGCACGTGAGGGTGCCCCGGCCCACGTGTGGATGTGTGCGTGCTTGCGTGCCTGTGTCGGGAGGGTGCCCGTGCCTGTGCCCGGGGAAGGGGAACAGGGCATGTGGCCCACGCGCAGCTGCTTGGTTCTTTGCAGGACAAGTACTTAGCAGACATGGATGAGCTTTTCTCCCAGGTGGATGAGAAGAGAAAGGTAAGCTGTCTGTCCTCTGGGTAGCAGGAATTGGAGCACTGTTCCCATCCCGGTGCCTAATGTCACCCCACGTGCTGCAGAAGCGAGATATCCCGGACTACCTGTGTGGCAAGATCAGCTTTGAGCTCATGCGTGAGCCATGCATCACCCCCAGCGGCATCACCTACGACCGCAAGGACATCGAGGAGCACCTGCAGGTGAGGGCCCGCGAGTGCTGGGAGCAGGACCCGTAACCACTGAGCACTTTCTGACCTTGTTGTCACTGCACACTGCAGCGCGTGGGCCACTTTGACCCTGTCACCCGGAGCCCCCTGACCCAGGAACAGCTCATCCCCAACCTGGCCATGAAAGAGGTCATTGATGCGTTCATCTCCGAGAACGGCTGGGTGGAGGACTACTGAGGCCGGGCAAGGGCCAGGGCTGCCCGCCTTGCCTAGTACCCTGGCTCAGGAGGGCCTTGGGGCAGTAGCTCCCAGTCCCTGTACATAGTTTGTGTCCCTAGATCTCTGCCCTGGTGTCCCCAACCCCACCCTCATCAGTTCTGCTGCTGGACCACGAGCCCCACTTCCACCCCCATCTGGGCCAGAAACAGCAGGCGAGGGTGGGCTGCTGCCACCGCTGTCCTGTAATAAAATCTGTGAGCACTATAGGGGTGTGTGCTGGTGTGTGCTGGGCTCACCAGCCGCCCAAGCTGGCTAGTTGAGGAAGGTAGAGATGAACACACTGGTGTCCAGGTTGAGTGTAGCATGCCACCATCGGTCAGGGAAATAGAGCACCTGGTGGAGGATAGGGAGGGGTACAGGGATTAGTTGGTGTGGCATCGGGTCCAGCCTGGCCCCTTTGTGCCACCTACTGACCTCTCCAGCCTGGACGGTGCACTCCAGGGGCTTTGCAGATGGTACCAGAGTTGGGTATATGTCCTGAAGCCAGGCCAGCGTGGTTTTGTTGGGATGGAACTCTGGTGTCTTCTCCGGGGGGTACAGGAACCAGCGCTGAGGGCGGGAGCAGCAAGGTCACTCTGTTGCAGTCAGTAAGCCCCAAACCCCAGCCCCCATCGTGTGCTGACCTTGCGGCCGTAGATGACCTCTGAGAACCCCGGCCCGTGCCAGTGGAAGGGCACCCCAGAACCAGCTCCTGTGGGGTCATATGTGAGCAGCTGCTGATGCCACCCAATTTAGAATTTGCTCTTCCCTTCCAAATCCCCTTTGTAGGGTACCCACCTGCGATTCCAAAGCTGTAAGCGGTAGTGGTACCCAGCAGACTAAATGGTGGTGAGGAGTAGTGCTTAAAGAGCGATGCCCATTCGCTAAAATTGTTGTCCCCAAAGAAATACAGGGTGTCTGTCAACAAAGAAGAGAGAAGGTGCAGGGATCTTGGCACCTGGGCACTCCGAGATGCCCGTCCCACCCCATGGCCAACTAGATCGGACTCACCATTGCCCAGGGAGGTAGGGTCCTGGGGATGCAGCAGGTGCTCCACATACTCCTGGAAGGGCAGGTCCACTGCGGGAAAGGGGCTGATCAGGACTGGCAGAGGCCGCGTGCAAGATGCTGGCATGCTGGCTGGGCCGCAGGGTGGGGCAGCTCACCTTTCCGGTAGGAGTAGGTATTGGCAGTGCTCAGGCGAACCACGGTGTCCCCAAACGAGGCCAGGAGCCTTTCTCGGGAGCACAGAGCCCGGAACCTCTGAAGGGGTGGGGAAAAGACTCAAGGGCCAGGCCCAGCACGGGTGCCAAGTGGCCAGGAGGGGCGCCCGCACTCACCGAGTTGTCTGTGAGGCCCTGCAGGATGACGGGTCTGGAGAAGGCGTAGCTGGAAGGGCAGAGGCACAGCCCGGTCTCACTCTCGCCCACCCACGCCAGCCCACCCGCGTTAGCTCAAAAGGGGGTTGCTCTCGGGAGCCCCGGGGAGGGGGCGGGGTTCGCAAGCAGCCCGAGGGCGCGAGCACTGCGGTGTAGGAGGGGTGGCCAGTGCGAGGCGACGCACGTACTGCTGCACGAACTCGGAGTAGCTGAGGTCGGCCCGACGCTCCACGGCGCAGCGCTGCTCCTCTGCCAGGGCCGCCGGCGCCCCGGGCCCGCGCCGCTGCCTGCGGGCACAGCGTGTCAGCGGCCCGCCCCACCGCGCGCCCCGCCCCGCCCCGGCCGCCGGCGCCGCTCACCACCCTCCGTCGCCCGCTTCTCCCGCGCCGCGCTGGGCCAGAGCCGCCAGCGTCCACACCGCCAGCAGCAAGAGCGGCCGCGCCCCCGGCGCCATGAGCCCGCCGCCGAGAGGCATGCCGGGAGATCCGTCGTCGTGGCAACGGCGCCCGCCCCGGAAGCAGTTCCTCGGGCCCCGCCTCGAAAAGGAGGGCACTTTCGGAAGGCTGCGCGAAGGCCGCGGGGAAGGGGACGGCGGCCACGGCCGGTTCCCCTGGCGACGTGCCCCCCGCCCCCCAGAGTCGCCCGGCGCGGAGCCTGGGCGCGGCGGCGGCGCACAGGCAGCCTCAGACTGCGGCTGCTGCCTCCTTTATTTGTGGCCCCCGCCCCGCCCCGCCCCGGCCGAGCCCGCGCAGGCGGGTCAGGAGTACTCGCACAGGTGGCCGCAGCCCGCGGGGCAGTGCGAGCTGCCCTCCAGCCACTTCATGATGTGCTGCAGATGGCCGCCGTGGCTGCAGCCCTGGCACCACACGAACAGCCCCTTGACCACGTGGTGGCAGACGGCACACATGCTGGCGCAGCGGTGGCAGCGGTCACACACCCAGCCGCGGCTGCTCATGGGCCGCTTGCAGTGGCTGCAGTTGACGTGCAGCGTGGTGGACGCCTGGTTGAGGCAGCTGATGGCGCGGCTGGTGCTCAGCTTGACCACCTGGTTGGACACGTTCCAGAGGCAGAAGCGCTGCAGCAGGTCGATGTAGGACGTGTACCAGTGCTCCTGGGGGGGCGGGCGGGGCGGGAGGCCGAGGCCTGGAGGCGGGCATGCTGGGGGCTCCCCCCAACCGGGGCGCGCTAGGGGCGGCGGGAGCGGGGGTGGACGGAGAAGACAGGCTTGCGGGGGCAGTCCTGGGGATGGTGGGGACCCCCGCCGGCCCAGTCACCCACCTGCGTCTGCTCGTCGATGTCCTTGCGCACACGCTCGCCCAGCACGATGAGCACGGACACAGCCATCTGCACGTCACCCTGCTCTGCGTAGAAGCGCAGCATGTCACACACCAGGGCGCTGAAGAAGTCAGGGGGCAGGCGGGCGTCGTAGAGAGCATGCGACACGGAGATGAGCGAGAAGGAGGAGTCCACGGGCGCTAGGGAAGCTGCGTCTGCCTCGCTGCCGCTCACGTGCGGGGAGTCCGCCTTGTCCTGCAGGTGCTCGGGGCCCGGGGGTGTGTCCACAATCTCGTGGCGCAGGGGGAAGGCTTCCTGAGGCAGCACGTACTCGGGTTCCTCCGCTGTGAGGCAGGGACGGGGAGGGCAAGGTCTGAGCCTCTGGCCACCCCCAGCCGGCGCCACTCCCCGCGCCCCGACTCACGGTGTGCGTGTTCCGGGTCCAGTGGGTACAGCTCGTCCTCCTCGCCCTCCGCGTCGCCCAGCAGGTAGTCTGCAGGCACATCGCTGCCCTCTGTCTCTTCGTTATCTGCCCACGACGGAGCGGGATGCGTCGCAGGGGAGCTGATTCTGGGACACCCTAGCCCCACTCCCCTCAGTGCCCTGTCCGCCCCCCAGCCTACCCTCATTGGTGATGAGTGTGGTCGAGGAGTCAAGCAGCACTGTGTCGCTCCGTGTGTCTCCCTTGCTACGGTCCAGCCTGGTCTCACTGCCCAACCCTGGGGCCATATCTTTCAGGTTGAAACTGGGCGCAGGGAAGGCCAGTGGGTCGACGGACTCCAACAGTCCCCACCCCGAGGAGAGCCACCCCCAGACATGTACCTGTTCATGAGTGGCAAACCGCAGGAGCTGCCCTTGCCCACGCTGTGGTTGAGGCTGGCGGCAGACGCCAGGCCAGGGCTGGAGTAGATGACTCGCAGCATGGTCCAGGTCTGCGCTACCTAGGGGCAGGCACCAGGCACTCACAAGCGGTCTGGGTTCCCGGCACCCCATGCAGACCGCCCCAGGCACCCAATGTCCTGGTCCACCCCAGCAGGAGAAGCGGACGCCTATGCCAAAGACGCAAATCTGGTCTCTGTCCTACGAGGGCACAGGAAGGAGCAGAAATTGGAAGCAGTGAACAAGGAAGTGAGCCCATGGGCTCAGGAAGACAGTGAGAAGCAATGTGGTCCTTTGTGGAGTCAGACACCTTGGGAAATCCAAAAGCAAACGTGAGCCACGAGTGGGGGCTTGGACACCGTAACGCACCAGGCCTGCACCCCAGCGGTGGCACTGGCATCTGGCCCACTTCAGGGCACAGGGTACCCTCAGTTACCAGGGTGGTGGCTGGTGGTGGCCACCACCAGAGCTGAGCGCTGAAACCAGAGTAGGGTCTGGGTAACCAGTTGGGGGCGCCCCCAAGGCCATGGTCCCTGGACCGCCCCACCTACCTGGTTTCGGCCAAGCTCCCGAGCCACTTTGGCATTGTGGTCACAGAGCTCGGCAAGAGGCCGACCGGCCAGGGCGTAACGCTCAGCGGTGTCCACGAACCAGCTCATGCTGCTGCTGCCAGGCTCCATCTCAAAGACACTGAGGGCACTAGACGCAAGGCCCACAAAAGGCTCGGCAGGGTCCAGCTTGCGCTTGAAGAAGATGGGATGGCGCCGATCACCAGCATAGGGCTTGCGCCCAGACTCGGTGGACACCAGGCTCTCCTTAGCGGCAAAGGCCAGGTCCCCAAAGAGGCCATAGCAGAGGCCCTCGGGGTTGGCACGCTCGACAGGCTGGCTGGCATCGCGGAACAGGTGCTGGCACAGTGTGCTGTCCTTAGAGCCGGAGAGCAGGAAGGAAGGGTCGTGTGGGTGGCGCCAGGCAATGCCTGTTGTGACGTCACGGTGCTCCTCAAACATGGCAGCCGGGACAAAAGGCCGGCGCACGTCCCACACGTAGATGTTATGGTCCACCATCATGGAGCAGGTGGCCAGGTGGTGGCGGCACTCAGGCCGCCACTTGACTCGGGCTACCGAGGCGATGGTCTGCACGCAGTGCACCTCCTTGGCGCGGTGCGTGGTCATGTCCCAGACCTTCACCATCTTGTCACGCCCACCTGTGGCCAGCCAGCCCCTATAACAGATCCACGAAGCCCTTAGTGTCCTCGCCAGGGGTGGAAGGACTCCCCACTCTGCCTCGCAGGTCTGGAGGCAGCCCTCCATAAGCCCGATCGTCCCACCCTGCTGCCTGTGCCCGCACGCCACCCCGCCCCACACCTGTCCTCAGGGTGCCAGTCGCAGCAGAAGACAGGCCCGTTGTGGGCAGTGAACATCCTCTCACAGCGGTCGGGCCGCCGGATGTCCCAGAGCTGCACGTTGCCATTCTCAAAGGTGGAGGCGAAGGTGAAGTAGTCCCGGATGCTGAACTGGACGTCCCGCACGCTCTCCGACTGGCCTGTGGGCGGGACATCATTGGAGGGAGAAGGTGAGGCTCTGGGACAGAGAGCAGCCAAGGCTGGAGCCCTCGGAGGGGCTGTGGACTGTGGCCACGTGCCTGACCGCAGCAACAGTGGGGAGGCTAGAAGAAGGAGTAGACAGCCCTAAGCCTGCCTGGGGCGGACAGTGGCAAGAGAGGCTTCACACAGAAGAAATGGCAGACCAGGCCAGGGAGCGGGATGCCAGGCGCCATGTAGTTTTTGAACCAAACCCCTGACCCCAGTTCTCCCCTGGATTGTGCTGACGCCGTCCCTGCACAGAGCTGTGGCATGGCTCCAGGACTGGCTGTCAGACCACTGAGCTAACGGGAGCCTTGCCGTGCTGTTGGTATGCGCTCCCCCGAGAGAGGCCCGAGGCAGCCTGCATGAGGGTCCCCCAGCGTCTGCCGCATCCCTTCCCCTTGAGCTGGAGCTGCTGGGTCCGCCCTAGGGGACTGGGGACCTTAAAGGTCTGTGTCCACCCCCACGGAACACCACCCCAAGAGCCTTCAAGGACGCTCGCGTTTCCACACCGCAGGTAGCTCAGGGTCTTGGGAGGCCCCCAATGCTCTGAGGCGACGGAGGATTCTGCCCCATGCTTCGTGTGGTCTCTTCAGGGTGGACACAACCTCGATGTCGCAAGGCCAGCTGTCAAGAAGCTGGGCCTGCTAGGAAAAGAACTGGATGGGAGGGTGGGCAGCATACCCCACCCTCTCTCTGTCCCGGAGGGGAGGCCCTGGTGGGCTTCCTGCCATGAAGTGGCCTGGAGCTCGGAGGCAGCAAGACAGACCCTCCGCTCAGCGGCCCAGCTTGGCTGCAGTCCGCTCAGGCCGGCCCTCTCCCTGGTCCCATACCCGGCCCCTCCCAGGCTGACCCGCACCCACTCTTCTGGTGCTCTCCGGGAGCAGGTGTGAAGACCTCTGAGGCCCACCACGCACTTCTCCACCTGCCCGACCTGCCTCCGGGGCCTCACCCGAGAAGGTGCTGACGGAGTCCTTCCTGCGGAGGTCGAAGCACTTCATGAAGCCGTCCTGGGAGCCGCTGAGCAGCACGTGGGCCTCGGTGGGGTGGAAGCAGACTTTGTTCACCGTGCGCTTGTGCTCTGTGAACAGCTGGTCCTGCTTGTTGCGGGATGGCCGTCCCAGGTTCCAGGTGACCACCACACCGTTGGTGGCCGCCGTGGCCAGCAGGTTCTCATCCATCTGGTGCCAGACCACGTCCGCGCAGCTCAGGTTGAGCGAGGGCTTGCGGCCCACACGGAGGTTCAGCTTCTCCACAAACTGCTCGTCCTCAATGGCGTAGATCTTGAAGATGCTGCGGCCGGCCACGACCACCTGGGCCGCGTCCCGGCACACGCTGATGGCATTGGCCGGCGCATCCAGGTGGCAGTGCATGGTGCGGCCGGTCAGCGCGCTGCCACCCAGGGCCGTGGTCACTCGGGACATCTTCTCCATGTCTGCGCCGGTAGGGGCGACAGGAGGTCGCTGACCGGAGCTGGGCTGATCAGCCCGGCGGGGCCTGTCAGTTGCGACCCTTCACCCTGGTTGGGTCCCCCCGGATGGCTTTGTCCTGGACGGGTCAGTCTTGGCGAGCCCGTCCGGAACAGCGGGCTGCCCCTCAGTGAGGAGACATCGCTGTCCCGCAGCTCGGCCGTCCGGTCTGCCTTCCGGGGAGCCCCTACCTGGTCCGTCCCAGCCCGGGCCAGCGCTCCATGCCAACAGTCGGATCGGGGCGATCCCTGGTCTTTCGGTCCGTCAGTCCCCGCAAGGAAGCGAGGGAGTTCCCGCGGTCCACACGGTGCGTCCGGGGGCCTCCGGGGAGGGACAGAGGGGCGCGGGGACGCACACGGACGCCAAGGACCGAGCCGTTCAGGGAGCCTGAGGGCACTGGCCGGAGGCCGGCGGCGCGCGCGGGGGAGCGGAGGCAGCGGGACGGCGGCCAGGGGGCTTGGACAAGCCTCTCCCTCCGCGACCACGACGACCCTCTCCTAAACTTGCCGGGCCGGGCCTGGCCGGAACCGCCGCGCCGGAAGCAGCCCTTCGCTTTCCTGTCCCCCGGCGCCCGGCTCGCCGGAAGTGGCCCCTTCTTGCCCGCCTCTCACCGGAAGCGGGCCCCCGCGCCGCAAACGTTCCGGGTCAGGGAGCCGAGCTCGTGGAGGCGGAGGCATCGACCCGAACGGAGGTAGAAGCGCTGCCCTGGGCTCCCCCGGTCCCGCCTCAGCGGCCGGTCTTTTTGCCACAGAGTTTGCATGCTAGTGCCCGACTGCGCCGGCAAGCCCATCCCCCCTAACGAGCCCCGCATCCCTCCAGCCGTCTCCCGGGACGCCCGCCGCAGCCGCCGCTCCGCGGCCCACCCCGCCCCCGGCGCGCTCCGAGCAGCGGCCGAAGCTGCGCGCTGTGCGCTCCGCGCTGCAGGCTTCGGCCTGGGGCCGCGCTTTCCGCGGCCTCCCTGGGCCCTCGCATCCAGCAGGGGGTCTCCGCGGCGCTCGGCCTCCGGGTCCTGCTTGTCTGTCGCACGCACGCGGCTGGCCCCTTGCTCACGCGGGGCTCGCGGCTGCCCGGGTCTCCGCAGTCCAGGGCCTGGCAGGACCCGCTGCTCCGCGCAGCCCGCGCCACCGCGAGAGCGTTTCGGAGCCTCCCTGCCTGGTGTGGCGTCTGCTCTGCCCTGCTGCGCTGCGGGCTCCTCGGCGTCCCCGCCCTCTCCGGAGTGAGCTCAGGTTCCGGACGCACGAAGCAGGGCGCGTTTTTGCCCTTCTGGCAGCCTGGGCTAGGTTTATGGACGTATTTGAACGAGAGAGCGCACGGGCGTGAGTGGGGGGACGGGCGTCCATCTCAGGACCCTGAGGCCACGACCCGAGCCAAAGTCAGAAGCTTCACCGACTGAGCCAGCCAGGCGTCCCGAGATCCGGGGCGTTTCGAGGTTAATATTATGTGCGATGACCGCAGCATCATTCACTTCCCTCAGAAGCCCTGAAAGGGCAGGGACCTTCTCTTCTGGCCACTGCTGTGTTTCCTGTCTGTGGCCCCAGGCCTGTGCGTGTTGAAAGACCCAGTAAGTCTGACGAGCCGAGAGGTGCACAAGAATCCCGAGCCTTGGGGCACGCCGCGCGCACACACCCTCCCTCGCCGTGGTCTGATGACCTCCAAACTCAGACACGTGTTTTTACAACTTTTTTAATATATATTTTTATAAACAGGTCACGTGATAAAATAGCACAAGAAACACTTACCAAATATAAGGTTATATCTTCCGCATATACAGGAGAATGAGGTCGTTATGTACAATAAGAAAATGATTTTCGGGGTTGGTTGGTTTTGTTTGTTTTCCTCTCTCCCCTTAATTTTTCCTCCTACAGTCGTTGCAGTTGCAATAATACTTTGGACAAACGGACAGCTGCCTCCTCCCCACTAGGGAGCTGTGCGGAGGAGGGGCTGAAGAAACTGGCTCCTGACCACCTCAGCCCCGGAGCCTCCCGAGGGCGCTCCAGGACAGGGAAATCTTTGGGCTGTTGAACTCTTTCTCTGCTTCAACAGCATCTCTCGCTCTCACGCTCTCGCTCTCGCTCTCTCTCTCTCTCTCTCACTCTCTGGCTCTCTGGAAACTGGTTACTTTCTTCCAACCAGATTGGCGGCGGGGGGGGGGGGGGGGGGGGGGGGGGGGGTTGTCCCAAGATTGGGTGTGGGCACCGTACTTCCTGGGGCTCAAGGTTGGGATGGGAAGGGGTCCCAGCCCCCTCCTCAGCAATTGCCAAGATGTGCCAGTGTCTCCCCAGGGCTCGCATGTGTCTTGGAACTGGACAGAACATGGCCAGAGCCCACCTGGGCAGGCGGAGGTTTTGGAAGCTGGGAAGGGGAGGGGGCAGCTAGAAAGGAGCCCTCCCTCCGCTGGGTGCTGGGGGTGTGTTGGCCACTTATAAGACTGGACTTGCTGGCTGGGCCTTGGCTGGGGCCCATTTGTCCAGCCTCCACCAGACAGAGACCCACCCGGGATACAGTGTGGCACTGAGGAGGCTGGGCCTGGCTGGCTACAGGGGCTGTGGTTGGGGTCCATCAGGACTGCGTGCAAGGCCTGCCGGGCCTGAGGGTCGCTCCAGCTTGTGGTCTGTCAAGGTGGTTGTATATCCCCCCCCCACCCCCCGGTTGAGGTAAGCTACAGCCGGCTTGGTTAACGTTGATTATAGCAAGATCGTCAGCCAGTCTGTCCCTCCCTCAAACACAGTTCTTCCCTAGCCTGGCCCAAGGACCTGTAGGCCTGCAGGTGGGGATGGGGCGAGCAGGGGGCTGCCTCCTACAGCGGCAAGGAAAAGGGGAGGTCTCTTGGGTCAGGCTGGCATGAAGTGGGGCAAGGGCAGAGGGGACTTGGGCTCCTTGGCGGGCCATGGCTTTGGCGGTGGCCTGTTCCCCCTCGAACCCCTCCGAGGGCTCCAGGCACGGTGCAGTGGAAGATGCGGGAAGCCCTTGGGGCTCTTCTGGCCCCTGTGTCCTGGGGGACCCAGCTCCCCTCAATCCCTCTGGGCCCTGCCCGAGATGGGGGTACAGCGGGGGAGACAGAGCGGGGTGTGGCGGGGAAGGCGGTAAGGGGGGCCGTCAGGAGAGCTCAAAGCGGCCCCCAGGACCGAGCCCGACCCCTGCCTCTCCCCCAAGAGGGTCGACGAAAGATGGAGGCGGCTGTGGTGCGGTGGAGGGCGGGCGTGCAGTGCGGGCACGAGGGGCATGCACAGAGTCCCCGAGTGTGCGTGCGTGCGTGGGGCTGGGCCCGCCCGCCGCCCCCCCTTGCCCGGGCGGGGCCAGGAGGGGCGCGGTGGGGGGCGCTTTCACTGGGTTCGCCCTGCCTCCCGCGCTGGGCCGAGGGCGCGAGGGCTCCTCGAGGGCAGGGCCGGGAGAAGGCGTCCCCGCCCGGAGCGTGGCGGCTTCGTGCTCCGGGGGCGGGGAGGCCCGCGCTACTCGATGACGAGACAGCGGGGCAGGTGCTGCGAGAAGTACTTGAAGAGCTCGGGGGTGGCCCCGGGGCAGTTGGTCAGCTCCAGTTCCTCCAGCTCCTGCAGCTGCACCAGGCCCGACAGCCCGGTGGTGGTCAGCAGCGGGCAGCCTGCAGCGGGCGGGAGGCGGGGCGGCGTCTGAGCGCGCGGGGCCGCGAGCGCACCGGGGGGGCGGGGCTCCCCCGGCGTCTCCGTCCGGACCTGGCCCTGGGACCCCGGGACGGAGCTCCAGGTGGGATTCAGCGCGAGGGGCCCGGCAGGGCTGGCGGAGTCGGGTAAGTTGGGGACGGGGTAGTGGGGTGGTGGGGGTCTCACCTGCCAGAGACAAGAGACGCAAACTCCTCATGGCCAGGAGGTGCTTCAGCCCGAAGTCCTGCACCTGGGCGGGAGGGCGGGGCGAGTTAAGGAGCTCCGCTCGCGCCTGCGGGGGAGCCCACTGCTGGGGACAGGCCTTGGGCCTTGAGGCCGGGAGCTGCTGGAGGGGCAGGGGGCGGGGCTCAAAACGGGGGTTTCTCGGCTTCCGGAGGAGCCAGGAGGCAGCTGGGGAGTGGCGGTGAGGTCTGCGGGGAGTCCGTAAGCCCCGCCTACGTCGCCCGCTGGGTGGGGAGGGATCCCACACTTCCTCGCGGGATCCGAGGGGGCCGGGAGTAGGTCGGCGGGTTGCCTGGGCGGGGGCTTTGCCCGGGTCCCCCACCTCCCCTTGCCTACTCCCCAGTCTTCGGAGGCGGGGAAGGCCGGTACCTGGCAGCACCATCGCAGGTAGAGGCTGCGGAGGGACGACATGGTGGACAAGTAGCTGAGGCCAGTGTCCGTGATGCGCACACACCTGTGGGGGCGACAGAGGGGCGCTGCCCGCCTTCAGATCACCTCGCGCCGCCCGTCATTTCCGAGCCCTTCCTCTCTTCCCGGGGCGTCCCCCCCTGCAGGGTTTATGATAGCCCCTCCCTTGCCACGGCCCTGACCCCGCCAGGCCCCCGCCAGGCCCCGGCCCCTACTCTGGCGCCTGGTAGTTACAGTGCACTCGGCCCCGGGCTTCGGAGGGCCTGGCCCGTCAACCCACGCCCCATGGCTCCGTAGCGCCGCTCCAGCTACAGCTCTGCACATGAATCTAGGCTCCCTGCTTAGACGCTCTCGCAGGCCTTGCCCCGCCCCGCCCCGGTCGTGCCCTCCACCTGTCCCGTGGGTGGGGCGCGCGCGCACCTGTCCAGCACCAGCTCCTCCAGGCGGTGCAGGTCGCAGGCCACGTACTCCAGCGCCATGTCGGTGATGCGCGGGCACCACGAAAGGTCAAGGCTGCGCAGCTTGCGCAGGTTTTCGGCCACGAGCTCCACGCCGTCGTCGGTGACCTTGGAGCAGCCAGAGAGGCTGAGCGCCGTGAGGTTGGGCAGGCTGTGCACCACGTTGACCACGCCGTGGTTGGTGATCTCCCAGCAGGAGAGCAGGCGCAGCGTGTGCGTGCTGTGGCCCTGGCGTGCTGTGAAGTAGGCCAGCGCCGTGTCCGTCACGTGGTAGGCCTGCAAGCTCAGCTCCGCCAGGTTGGGCAGCAGCTGCGAGATGGCCGCAATGGCGTCGTCGGCCACGTTGATGCAGTCGCTGACGCTCAGTGAGGTGATGCGTGCGCTCAGGCTGGACCACAGCCCCGCCTCGGTGAAGTCGTTACAGCCGGACAGCTCCAGACGCACGACGCCCTGCATCTGCTCCAGCATCACCTGCAGGCGGGCAGGCGGCAGGGTGTGGTGAGGGGGGCGGGCCCGCTGGGGGGGCAGGAAGCAGGGCTCCCGGATGTAGACGTGTGTAACACATGCATCAAGCTGCTCTGTGACAGGTGCCCCTTACGGTGGGTTTGTCCCATCATGGCCCCGTTCTAAGAGGCAGAGCACAGGGGACCTGGGAGCTCAGGGCTGCACCAGAGCAGGTGCTGGGGAGCAGCTGGTGTTACTGATTTGAAGCTTAGAATCCTGGCCCTGGGGCAGGGGCCAAGGGTTTCACAGGCACATAGGCCCTGAGCTTAGGAGAGCCTCCCACTGGATCGATTGATTGCTTTGGTGTGGCTGTCTTGAAATTCTTAATCATCTTTGAACAAGGGACTTGAATTTTTCATTTTGGACTGGGTCCCCCAAATCGCATAACTAGTCCTGCTTCCCCTCCCCTGAGAGCCACAGTCTTCAGGGCACCGGCGCTTCCCTCAGCCACTTTGCTCCTCGTATGCCCAAGCTCCCTCTGGGGGCACCCCCCCACACCCAGGCACACACACACCAGCTCAGTTGCAGCTGCTTGGCCCTGCCCACACCATCCCGGTCCCTTCCAGGCCAACAGTGGGGCGCACCTCCAGGCCGGCATCTGTGATGGTGGAGCGCTTGAGGCTCATGGCCTTGACACCCTTCTTAGAGAGGGCATAGTTGTCGATGAACTCACAGATGTCCAGGTCGGAGACGCCAACCAGGCAGAAACCCTCAAAGCCACGCGCAGCGAAGCCCTGCAGGTTCACAAACTCCTTCTCGCCACTAGGCAGCACGTTGTAGAGCTCCTTGGCATGCAGCACAGGGGTGAGGCCTGCCCAGAATTTGGGCTGGTAGAGCACACGCCGCCAGGCCTTGCACACTTGGGCCAGCACACACTTCTCACAAGCTGAGAAGTACCAGAAGAGGCCATTGAGGATCTTTTCGTCTGTGGCCAGTGGTGGCCGCTCCACTGGGGGCCCGGGAACAGGGGCTGAGGCTGGTCCACCAAGGGGGAGCCCCGGTGGGGGGCATAGGCCCCCAGCCAGGGCAGCCCGTGGCAGTGGGGAAGCCAGGCTGGGTGGTGGGAGGGTAGGTGGGGGAGGGGGCTGGCAGGGGCGGTTCTTAGCAGCTGGTGTGCCCTTGGTGATACTGGCTGCACCCAGGCCGTTGGGCTGGCCTGGCAGCTTCACCAGGCCGTTGCGAGGCAAGCATGGAGGCTTGGGGTCGCCGTCCACACCTGGGCTCGACATCTTCCTCGCTCAATCTGTGGACAAAGGCCGGGAGGGGGTAATGAGTCGCTGCGGGAAGAGAGCTGGGCTCCCCGTCCCCGGGGAATGTCCTCCCATGGCACTCCCAGAACCACCCAACAGGAAGGATCTGAATCCAAGTCACTCCTTCCCCGACCGTGAGCAGCGACAGGAAGTCAGGGCTGTTCATGACCATGACATTCCCTGAGCACCTACTGTGTGAGCTGAGCTCCACCTGTTCTCACAGACTATTTTGACCACATAGGCACTACAGTTCCCATTTTAGATAAGAAAAGAGAGGCAGGCAGAGACAGACATAGAAAGACACTCGCTCATGACTGCCCCCTTCACCTTTACTACTCCAGTGCCCACTCTCAGTGCCTGCCCTGCCTACCTCTACTGGGCAGGGACTGCAAAACTGAAGGAGATGGTTTGGGGTGGTCTCGGGCTCCTCCACTATGGGGTGACATCATGGCTGTCTGGAGTGGCTCTAGTACGTGTCTGAGACTCACATACCAGCCCCTGAGGATCTCGGTGGCTATGGGATCTACCCAATAATCTGCCCAAAGAAAGGGCAGACTTTACCATGATGCCAGCACAGTGAGCCTTGGACATGTACTGTCTCTTTAATCCTCCATCCAACCCACTGATGGTGATGTTATGATGACTGTGCCCATTGTACAGATGAAGAAAACAAAGCAGCATGAACTATTTGCTCAAGGTCACCATAAGTGGCGGAGCCAAGGCTTGAACCAGAGCTGGCTTTGGAAGCCTATTTGTAGAGAGTTCCTCAGAAGGTGGGACTGGACACCCCCCACCACTCCCCTCTCAGGCCTCTGAGGCTGTGAACGGGTGGCAGACGGCTTGGAGCACAGACAGCCCTGGAGAGGGGGACAGCCGGACCCTCACCGTGCCACCATCTGCTCCACATTCCAGATCATCTCCTGCCCACCCCCACTCCAGACATCCAGCGGAAAGGCACTGCACCCAGGGGCTCAGGCGCAGTCTCCAGGGTCACACAGCCAGGCTCTGTGGCCTCAGTGAGCCACTTCCTTGCTCCAAGCCTTGTTTTTCCTTACTTTGAAGCCCGAGAAGGGATGACCCACCCCCACAGCACAACATGTGAAAAGAGCTAAGCATAGTGCATGGCTCACAGTGAGCGTTTGGAAAGTGGCACAGAGGCTGCTTCTGAGCCCCACGGCCCACCTTAGGGGAAGGGGTCAGGAGCCACTGGGAGGGAGGGAAGCAGGCTTCCCTGCCCTGCTCTACCCAGCACCATGCCCCCCACTGGCTTCAAGCCCTGGACTCAACCCTTGCTGGCATCCCACATCTGGGGAGGGGTGCAGATCTAGGCTGGGACCAGGAGTCTACTGGAACACGGGGCCCTCAGGGCTGCCAACCCAGCTTTGGGTCCAAAGGCCTTCCTGCCCTGGCAGCCATGAGACCCTAAGCTGGCAATCCACATCAGGCCAGCTCTCCTTAGGGGAGGCTCCCCCACTCTGGCTGTCCCTTTACTGCAGGAAAGTAGCAGCCTCACACTGGCTGAAACATGACATTCGTAACAACGTTTTCTGAATACCCACTGGGATAATCATGTGTTCCAGCCTCATGGCAGGGGTGTGCGTGTGTGTGTGTGTGTTGGGGGCACCACTGTTAACCTCACTTTCAGACTGGGAGCCTGGGGCTCCAAGGAGTTACAGGTGACCCACAGTGACAGATAGGGGTGCAGCCTGACATGAGGGGTGCCCCAGATCTCTTAAAACTAGTACGTGAGGAAGAGACCATGGTGGAACAGCAGTGCCTCATGGAGGGACAGGAGGAAGCCCACGACGGGTCCCCACTCCAGGGAGCAGGGGAGAGGCTGTCCTGTGGACTCCCTCCTGTGGGCTGAGCTGGGCTCAGGGAGGCAGCCCCAGCGTGAATACCTTCTGCGTCCCCGGATCGGGGTGCCACGATTTCAGGGCTCGGGGCACGCCGCCCACCCAGCCTCTGCCGCTTCCTGCTAGCTCGGCCGCGGAGCGCAGCACCATGGACAGCACCCCTCCAGCCGCCGTGCGCGTGCTCGGAGGCCAGGCCCGGGCGCGCTCCACCGCGGACAGCGGCTGGTGGGGGTGGGGTGGGGGCCGGGCCCGGCAAACCCAGCCGAGCAGGGAGAGGCCCTGCGGGCGACGGGGCGGGGCGAGAAGCCGCCCGCTCCGCCAGGATCCGGAGGAGGCGGCGGAGGTGGCACCAGGGGAGAAATAACTTCGGAGCAGTGCCGATTTAGGTTAAAGATGCTCCCAGCCACGGGTGTGCACGTGGAGTGCTCGCGTTGGTGGTGGGGGGCGGGATGCACGTGGATGCCCCGGGCGTCTGCGGGGCTCTTTACCCGCACCCCACCGGAGCTCACATTTGCACACGCCCACAGTCCCATCCCCACTCTTCAGGCCTCAGGGTGGAGCTGGTGAAAACAAGCCGGCCGGCGGAGAGCGCCCGCGGGAGGGAGGGGCCAGGCGGGGGATGGCCTCAGCCGGGGGAAGGGGGGGAGGTGTCCGAGGCCTGGCTGCCCTTTATCCCACACCCACATCCTGGCCGCCAGGCCCTGCCCTGCCAGCCCGTCAGCCCTTCTGCTGTGCCCCGGATTGGAACTGCCTCTTCCTGGAGGCAGCCCTGCTGCTCCCCGACCTTGTCCATGGTCCTGCCCGGCTCCCGCGGCACACCCCAGCCTCACCGACCCAGCCTGAGAATCCCTTGCTCCGTGGTTCAAAACTGGAAACAGCCACATCTTGGTCCAGGGGTCAGAGCTTTAGGAGAGAACTGAGCTTGTGGTCAGCGATGGGTCCTTCTGTCAGACAAGAGGTCCCTTGGTGGGGGGGCGGCGCTGGAACATGTGCTCCTCTGTCTAGTCCCACCCACCCAGGCAGATGGGCTGTGAGACCCCGACCCTTTTGGTACCTGCTACTGCACGCAGTGAGGCTCAGAAGACCTGCCTGGAGTTTCTCGTTAGGATGGGGTAGGGTCAGCTGCCAATCTGATGTGGACTGCCTCCTCCTTTAGAAATAAGCACCAGGAGCTAACGCTAGGAAAAGAGGCGTTTTAAAAAGATGGCCAAACTTGCACTATTCTCAGCCTCAGCCCCGGGTGTGTTGTGCCTCCGTGTGGAGCGGAATTCTGGAGGAGGTCCTCCTGGGATAGGCTGCGGGGGCTCAAGTCTCCTGGGAGGACTCCAGAACTTGGTGGCTTCCAAGCTGACAGTCTGCAGATGTCAATGCTGAGGCTCTGAAAGGAGCTGCCTCTTTTGCCATCAAGTCACAGGGCCCCGAGCCCTAGCATGTCGATGTTACAGCTTCCTTCACCTCTGGCTCCTCACCAGCCTTGAACCTACAGCCCAGCCAGACCCCTGTTCTGTATTCCTGCTCCCCTCTCCCTCTTTGCCTGGGCACATGCTGGTCCCCCTGTTTGCTCAGGAGGCCTCCCTGCTTCTTCACCTGCCAGCTCCTTATCCTCCACCCCTCAGTGTGATTGCCACCCCTGTCTCCCACTGGGGGACTCCCCAGCACTGAAAAAGCATCTCCAGGGTCTCAGTCATTACTGTCAACCCATCTGTCTCTTCCCTTGGCTGGGGACTTCTTGAAGACAGGCAGCACCGCAGCTGAATGGCCTCTTAATGCTTGCTGAATGAACGAATGAGGAATGGCTGTCGCCAGGATCATGCCGAAAGGGTTGTGGCTGCCAGGTGCCCAGGAGGCTCGGTGGAGGACAGGCCAGATTAAGAAGAGGGCAGGTGGATGGTGGTGGTGGTGGGGGGTGTAGCTCGGTTTGTTAATCCTGGTTGAGACAGAGGCCAGTGTCCACAGTGAGGGTGGTTGCTGGGGTCTCTGGTAGGCCTTGCAAGTAGTCGGACTCTTGGGAAGAGGATGGCTTATACCTCCTTTCCGGCTGAGTCCCCACTTCGGGAGTTGCACGGTAGGGAGGCTGGCTGCCCATCCGCCACAATCTGGCCATATCCAAAGAGGGCACAGGAGCCACCAGAGGAGAGGGAGGAGCTGCCCTGCTTTTCCCAGTGCCACTCTGCTATTGCTGGTCCCCTCACACACTTCCTGACCACAAGTGGGGAAAGGGAGAGTTGGGGACAATTTCAGAGGTTGCACAGAGCTGGAATTTGATCCTAGAACCCCCAGTCAGTCTGACTCCCAAAGATCAGACTAGGCACTGAGGTGCAGAGGGCAACGCTAGGCCCTTCCCTCCTTTCTGTGCCCTGTTCTACTTGTTCAGTCCCCTGGGTCCTCCCAGCCTGGGACCTTGGGCTGCTGGTCTTTCCCAGCACTGTCTCTGTTGTGCCCCTGCTCTCACTCCAGAGGCTGCAAGATGCATGCCCACCCCCAGAACACCCTCTTTTTGTACTGCTCATGCCTAGGAAACCCCCAACTCCTCATGGCTTCCAACTCAGAGATCTCTGCCTTCATCTCTTATGCTCTGTCTGACAAAGGCTTCCCAGAGTGCTGGAGGGGTCTGGCCCCAGCAGGACCTGCACTGACCATTTCTCCCTGCCCACTGAGGGCCGTGCGGCTGGGCAGAGCATGGGCAGCCTGAGAAATTCACATCAGGTTGATGTGTGGTGACAGCCCCAGGGATGGGGGTGACAACCAGGGTAGCTTGGGACTGGGGACACAGCGCGGGCTGACGAACTCCATGACAAGCCCCGTGACTCAGGCACATTCACATCCCTGCCACTTTGCACATGAGCCAGCAAAATGCTCCCTTCCCGCCCCCAGCACAGAGATGCTTCTGGGGTGCAAGCTGCCCCACCCGTGCACCAGGGGCTCCAGGAAGTGAGCACATAGCCTCCAAAGAGATCAGGATTGGCACTTCATCAGATCAAGTCCTGTGGTCATGCTCAGGACAGCTCAGCCACGTGGGACTGGGCATTTTGGGGAATGGGCTTGGGCTCCAAGCCTCACCTTGGCTTTTCTCCTCTGAAGGATCTGAGCCACCCCCCACCAGTGCCTAGGCTAGGGGCATCTAGTGCCTGCTTCTTTGAGTTGCTGCCTCGAACCCTTCCCCTCTTCCCAGCCAAGTGTGGCTGTGTGGCCCAAGCCCACCCTCTGGCTGGTCTGGCTGGGGCTCCTCCTCGTCAGTGGTGGGGAAGGTGCTGAACCACCCACTTAGCCCACGGAGCCTTCCTTCACTGCCACCTCCACTCTTCCCCCGAGACAAAGCAATGAGCACCCACATGTGACAAGATGGGGCTGCAGGCCACCGAGCAGTGCCCCACCTTGGGGTGAGTCTCCCTGGGTCTCAGCGGCACAGGCTTCCCAGGCCCAGGCTGGTAGCCTTGAGGGCCCCAGGTCCCCTGCCCTCAGGGCTGCTTGTTTTCTCACTGCACTGGGAGAGAGGACTCACTGTAGTGCTCCAGAAGTGGACAGGAGCTGGAGGGGCGCCTGTCCAGGGGGCCTGCCCAGCATGACAGGTGCTGAGAGGCCTGCCTGGCCCAAGGAAGAGGTGGCAGAGGATGAGTGGAGACGGTGGACAGCTGAGTCCCGGGGTCCCCTGGGATCTGAACAGGCCGCCTGCACTGCCCAGGTTATGGATCTCCCTTCTCCCCACAGCTCCCGGTCCAGCCCTAGGTCCACCTCCTACCAGGCCAGCAAGTCTCCATCAGGCCTTGGCCCTCCCAGGGTCCCACCCAGACCTTTGCTCAAAGGGGTTGGCTGAAAGAAGGGGCCTGGGAGGTGGCGGGTAGCGGTAGGGGACTGACCGAGTGGGCAGGTGAAGCGGTATCCACCATCTGCTCTCTCTTTGGAGGGAAGGGTTCCTGTGCAGAGGCCGGGAGGGGCTAGAGGATTGACCACTGGGCCCTGGGCTCCCTGAGGCTCCAACAGCTAGGCCTTCTTCCCTCTTGGGGCGATGGGTGGGGGCTCTCTTCCCTCCAAATCCCAGGAGGCCAGACCCCTCCCCAGCAAGCCTCAGGGTGCCCAGTTTCCCTTCTGAGGCCCTCCAACCTTGGCCAAGGCCCGACCCCTCCAGAACCAGGCACATGGCCAGCTCCCCACTGGCCCAGGTGTCCAGGGCAGAGAGCCCCCAGCCACGCATCCACATGCCTTGTCCTGGAGTGTAACTGCATCTAACACCTGTCTCATAGGTCCAGGGGCTCATGGTGCTGGGGAGGGGAGCTCAGAGCACGAAGGAAGTCCAGGACCTCAGCCAGCCTGGTGGGCTGGGGGCCTGCAATGCTGCTACACCAGGGCTGTGGTCAGCGGGCGCCGGCCCACAGCCCTGGTCCAGTTACTGGGGGGACCATGCTTCGACCAGGCGGTGCTGGGATCGGGATCTGTGGGAGGGCCTGTCAGGGCCAGAGGCCCAGGGGCCTCGGCCTGGGAAGGGGCTGCGCCGATGTGAGGCCCCCGGGGGTGGTGGCAGCCCTCTCCGAAGCCCCCTCCCCAATCCTCATTGTGGCCGCCGCGATGGCGTGTCCTGGCCCCTTCCCCGCCCCGCAACCTGGCCCGGTGCACACACCTTACCTCGGCCCGGGCACCTGGCTCATGCCACGCCGTCCGCCGGGCGTCTTCTCGTCATGGGGAGCCAGGCATGGGCGCTGGCGAAGCGGGGAGGCGGCCGAGGTGCTGGCCTGGCCGGCAGGGCCCTGCCGCGCCCCGCGCCCCGGCCTGGCCGGCCCCCTCGGCCGCGCCCGGAGAGGAGCTCCCCGGTGGGAGAGGATCGGCTGCCCCGAGCCTCCCACCGGGGAGGCTGAGGCAGTGCCCAGATAAATAAGGCCGCTTTGCAGGGAGCCGGGGCGGGCGCCTCCTCCCTCCCCTCGCCCTCCTCCCTGCGCTCCTCCGCGGCCGCCGGCGGCGCCGCGCGCGCCCCCCGCCCGGCTCTACGCGCCGCGCCCTCGCGCGCTCCCGGCGCCGGGAGCCAATCCGGTTGGCGAGCCCGGGCCGGGGAGCCGAGGATGCCGAGCCCCGCCCCGCCCGCCGCGCCCTGCCGCGCGCGCCGCGCGCTCCCGCCGCGGCGCCCACGGGCACGCGCCGGCCCGGCAGCGCCCCCACCCCTCCGCCGCGGGCGCTCGCACAACAACAAACCCGCGCGCTCGGCGGGGCGGGGCGGGGCGGGCAGGGCGCGCGGCCGGAGGGGTGGCCGGCGGAGAGCCCTGCCTGCGCGAAGTGGGGTCCCGGAATCCTGCGCGGGGAGAGGACTCGAGCTCTTTGGCGCTGGCGATTCGCCCCGGAGTGCGCGGTCTTGTGGGGCCGGAGCCGCGCGTCCCGACCCTTGGATGCCACCTGCGGGGGCGAGGGTGGTCCAACCCTCGCCCTCCGAGCCCTTCCTGCTTAGCGGAGGGGAGCATAGCCGGCGGCCTTGACGGCCCTCAAATCTCGGCGCACCTGCTGGCTGCCGGGCCCAGAGACCCCTCAGTGCCCAGCCCCCCGCAAACCCCAGAAACAAGCCACCACCAGACCATCTCAGAGAGTGACAAGTGCGATGAATGTTCAAGAGGGCCACGTGATGGTGACCTCGGGAGGGTGGTGTGGTGGTGGTGTGGCTGGACCGGGGAGACTCCTCCGTGTCCAGGCACCAGGCCAAGGAGTGCACCCGGGGAGTGGTGCTTCTGGGGAGGCGATGCCTGTCCTGAGGACAGGACCCTTGACAGGAGACCCCAAGGATGAGAGGCTGGGTGAGGTTATCCAGGAAGGAGTGTGCACAGGTCTTTAGGTTTGGAGTTCTTGAGCTGGTGAGTTCCCTCTGGAACCCCCTGGAGGCGGTGGTGGTGGTCACTTTGGAGGGAGCAGGCTGGGGGAGAGGGGCTGGGGTGGGGTGTGGAGGAAGGGTGTGCAGGGCTCCCTCCTGGCCCCTGGAGATGCCAGGCTTCCCACAGGCTCAGAGTGGAGAATGGAGGCTAATGGTACCCATAGCAGGGTCTCCTGGGAGCAGAGACCGTGGCGGGATCAGGTGTGGGAGAGCAGAGAGGGGTCTTTGCACTAGGAAAAGAGCCTTGAGGAAGGCCCTTGAGAGTGTCTGAGAGAAATGAAAACAGCTGGTGTTGGCACATTCTGGTGGGAAACAGGACCCAGTGGGGCTGGCACGAGGCGGGGGCAGCCGCAGGGTGGAGCCTGTTTGTGGAGCTGGGGGGCCGGCCTGGCTGCGTCTGGGGCGCTGGATCCAGCTCGTCGAGGCTGGGGTGAAGCCGGCTCTCTGGTGTGGCTGGGGCTGATTCACGGTCTGGCCCTTGTGCGGACTCCGGTCAAAGCAGGGGTGGGGGCAGTCAGCATGGGAGGCATGAAGACCTTTGGGGTGCCTGGGACAGTGTTGTCCGACCCATACAGTCCCTTCTGGTGTGTGGGTCTAGCAGGCCGGCCTCCGGTTCAGCCTCCACATGTGTGGACCGTGGCGTGGACGGTGCGTGACCTATAGGGCGAGGTTTCACCTCCAGCTTCCGGGGGCTTCCTCCTCTCAACAGGGGCCCGGGCCCCACGTGCTGCCCTCAGTGAGGCTGGAGGAGACCCCACGCCTTGGAAGAATCCGAACAGAGAAAAGCCTTGCCTCCCACATACCTGGGGCTCTGCTCCCTTCCCCACCTCCTTCACCTGGCCCTGAGCCCACGGGCTTCTCTCTCTGCTGCGATGAAGGGCAGCTCACCTCCTCCCCATGGTGCACGGTGTCCGTGCTCCCGGGGCTCTGTCTGCTATCAAAGCCTGAGTCTCCTGCGCAGCTGGCCGCAGCTTTGCCGACGCTGGGTCCCTTGCTGGAACTTGAGTAACACTGGCTTTCCTCCAGGGCCACGTTCCTCCCCAGAGCACCCCTTCCCGGAAGCACTCCTCGTCCTGGTGCCGGACACGGAGGAGTCTCCCCGGTCCAGACTGCTGGAGGTTTCCAGCTCTTTAGTTACGGGAGGGTGAGAGAGGGAGCCGCTGACACCTTGGGGGCTGCGCTGCCCATGATGGGGTCAGGCCTCCTGGCGCCTCAGGACCAGGGCAGAGGCCCTGGACTTCCTAAGCCTCTTCGCAGGAGGGTCCTGAAGCCACTGCCCAGGGGGCTCTGGGTACAGGGGGCCTGGAGCCACCTGCTTGGCTCAAATCCTCCTTTCTGTGGGGGCTGGGGGGGGCTCAGGCAAGTACTTCCCCTCCTGGCAAATAGGTCTGGGGTCCAAGGTGGGGGCCCTGAAGGTCAGTGAGGCACCGAGGACAGCACAGGTGCTGAGAGCCTCATGCCTGATTGTAAGCGGCCCACCGTGCCCCATCCTGCTAAGGAGATGCAGGACCAGGACACTGCAACTCTCCCTGGTGGGAGTTCAGGGGGGCCTGGGGTGGGGGGCGGTCAGCTGTCCTCACCGCTCAGCTGCCAGAACAAACAGGCACCCACAGGAGTGAGAACGGGGAAGCCCGGGCGGCCATGGGGACCTCGGGCATCAGGGGGTGGACCACTTCGCTGCCTGCCCGCTGCTGGCTCCTGCTCCCAGCCTTTCCTCCTCCCTGACCCAGGCCCGACCTGCCAGGGGCAGAGGGGCGGAGCGGCCAGGGTTGAGCAGGACTCAGGCCCAGCTGTCACCACGGCAACCCCGTCGCCTAGCAATGGCGGTCTCCCAGGAGCGGCGGTCTCCTAGCAATGAGATGTTTTCCTGGGCCCTGGCTGGAGCCCACGGTTATTTTTAGCTCAGCTGCAAGTCAGTGTGCAGCTGCATTTCTGGATCCTCCAGAAGATGCCAGGTGTGTTGGGGGCGGACCTCTTGTCAAAGGGAAAAACACCTCCCCACGACAGGAACCTGGCTGCCACGTGTCTCCTGATAACAGCCTCCATAGGTGGGCAAGGCCGGGTTCCACGGAGGGTGAAGGTCAGGGGAACGGGGCACAGCTGAAGGGGAGCCAGTTCAGCAGACACAGCCGTGGCCCTAATGGGGTCTCTACGCAGGCTGGTCACTCTGGCCCCTGGGACTCCATGGGTCAAGCTGCGTAGGGGTACCCCAGGCCAGTGTTCATGGCGGGAGCCATCAGAGCACATCACTGGGCTCTCCCGGGACTGGCAGGCTCCTGGCACCTCCTGGCATTCAGTTAGGGAACTATCTCTGCTGTCTGCAGCCCTCAGCCCTGCCCCGGGGGGTGCAGCGCTCTGGTCTGGGCCAACTGGAGTGGCACATTCAGGTGGTCCTGGCTGCAAGGGTCTCGGTGGCCACAGGCTCAGCTGGGGCCTCGGGCAGGGCTGGCCTCTGTCCAGGCCACACCTTTCCTTCTCCCCTGCTGTTGCTGAAATGAGAGCCCAGGTGGGTCCCATGCAAGTCAAGAAAGACCGTGACTTCTCTCCCTGGGCTTTCTCACCCTTTCGGCCCTGTTCACTGTCCCTTCCAGGCCAAGTCCAAGCTCTCCCATGGCTGATGGGCCTAGGGCTGGCCCTGCAATCCTCCCACAGGCCATCTCCTGGTTCCTGGTCTCTCCTGGGCTCCACACTGTCCTTGGGACTCTCACGACTCTCACTCTGTTTCTTCGACCTGGAACGTCTTCCTGCCCTCCTGACCCATCGGATCTGCCCCGCTTTCCTGTTGCTCCCCCAGGTCCTTGACCAGCCCAGCACCTGCCTTGGTCATGAGTGCTCCTTCCTTATGCCCCCAGTACTGCAGGCTTCCTGTCAGGTGCCTTTTGCCATGTGGGGTCACCCCCTGCTGGAGTATGGGGCCAGCTGGGATGCCGCTTCCTGTCCCAGCAGCAGCGGTGGCCCCTGCCAAGAACTGGGTTTTGGGTGAGAAAGGAGAGAGCCCCTTTTGGAGGGTCAGGACCCTGAAGGGTCTGGAGCTGGAGGCCTGTGAAGGAGCCCCGTAATGAGCATAGACACTGGGGGAGCTGCCCGAGATTTGGGATGTCACCCATCCCCCCATTCACTCACGGGTGCACACACTCCTTGCCTGTGTGTTTGCTGAGCACCTGCAGTGCGTCTGATCACTGCTGATCCAGAGCAGGCGTGGCCTGCTTGGCTCCCTTTCCCAAGGCTTTGCTGGTGGGGGGCAGCACCTGTGAAGACAGGTGGCCCCATCCAGGTTTTCTGCGGCTGACAGTTGGGCCCTGGGCAGTAGGCCTGGGCAGGGGAAACCTGGTGTTGAGGAGATGGGTTGGGGCAGTGTGTGTGCTCCTTCTGGACCAGGCCACTGGCCAGGAGCCCTTCCCTTGCACGGCAGGCACTGACGCATTCTCGGGGTGGGGAGTGCTGGAGCTGGCAGGTGGGGAGCCAGGGGCCCTAGGCCCGCCGGCTGGGTCGGCAGCTGTGTCGTCGCACTGCCACCAGAGGGCGCCTGGAACCCACCATCTCTGAGACCGGGCAGGGGCTCGTCCCAGAGCCTGCGCAGAAGTGGGAAAGGGACGTGTGCCTCTCAGCCCAGGCAGCTGTGGTGCCCACCGAGTGCCCTCTTTCCTCCTCCTGCCACCTCTTTGACCTTCTACGTGCCCAGCACAGGCCCTGTCTACCTCTTGCATTTTTACTTGAGTAAAATGGACATCCTCACCATTTTTAAATATATATTTCTTTTTTTTTTTAAGATTTTATTTATTTATTTGACAGACAGAGATCACAAGTAGGCAGAGAGGCAGAGAGAGAGAGAGGAGGAAGCAGGCTCCCCACTGAGCAGAGAGCCGGATTCGGGGCGCGATCCCAGGACCCTGAGATCATGACCTGAGCCAAAGGCGAGGCTCTAACCCACGGAGCCACCCAGGCGCCCCCTCACCATTTTTAATTAAGGTAGCGGTTGAGTAGTGTTTGGCACATTCCCATCGCTGTGCAGACAGCCCCTCCTTCCACCTTTCCACCTGAAGCTCTGTCTCCATCACACACCCTCTCCCCACCCCCGTGCCCCAGCCCCTGGCACCCACCACCTACC